CCTTTTGTTTATGTGACTTCATAAAGTGTATATAACATTTAGTGGAATCATTTATATATTTTAATGGGTGAATTGGAGTTTTCGTGACTGTTTCAACAATAACATTCCTAGATCATGGAGATCAATTTTAATGATTGAAAAAAAAAATTAATGTAAAATAAAGTAAGCTTTCTTATGATATACTTGTGATGTGTTTGTCTTTCAAAATTGTGTTGTTGATGACGACTGACGACTCTACATTCTTTTTTTAATTAATGGGTAGCTCTTGTAAATGATGTAGACAAAATTCAATTCTAGACTATTTTACAATCAGAGATAATAATCCTAATAATGGACTGTATATTTATTGCCGTTTATAATTAATTTTCTTTTCTTCATTTACAACATAACTACTATGCATTTCAGATCACTGTCCGATTTAACATTCTACGTTTGATTTTTTTACCCAGAATCATGAGAAAAAATTCCCCCATTTCAAAAAAAAACTTCTACCTCTTATATACAGATTTAAAGAGTTACTGACAGTCGACCGATTGGTCGTATTATATAATGTTGTAAAAGTATTATCAAACTAAATGTCAAAATAGGGGTTTATGTTTTGATTTAATGGACTGTGATATCTTGTTTTCTGTTTTCGATGTTTACATTCCGTCTGGCAAAATACATGGGAGAAATGGCATGGAACGTCAATACCCGATTCATTTATGCACTTTTTGGAGATATTTCGTTTTTCTGTATTTCCATTTCTTTCAGTATATAGTATGTATGAGAAAGGAATCTCACTGATTTTAATGAAAGCAGAACAATTAGAGATATTGGTCTTTTTAATGTTTAAAACAAATCTGAAAATGTGTGATTCTAAAGCTACTCTCTGTACGGTTTGTACAATATACAATGTAAAGATTTCATTCAACATCATCCAACCATTTTCTTTGTCATACCAACAGGTGTATGGCCCAAACATGACGTTGTTAACTTGTTATTTACCGGTCCTCCTGTGTGTAAATCAAGTTTAGTTTCATCCAAACTTAAACATAAACAAATAAAAATAGGAACATATCCTATACAAAGCAAATGGAGAGGTGATCGCAGTTAAGGTTGCTTATATATATATAGGGGCTTAACATTTTACAGTTGCATTCATTTCTTTAAAAAAATCTTGTTTATTCCCCCGTTTCTTCGATTTTTTTCATCAGTGTGATGTAAGGTGGACTTCATTTTTATTTATGCCTCCGCTACAAAGCAGCCGGAGGCATTATGTTTTCGGGTAGTCCGTCCGTACGTCCCGTTCTCGTTTGTTATGCACTCCTGATATTTTGGAACGAAAAAGGGCCCTTTTCATGTACATTAGTATCCACCGGGAATGCTGTTCATTTTTGTTTCTTCACTATATCCATAACTTTGTATTAGTCTTTGTCTCTTTCAAATTATGTATTTCTTTGACCTTGTTTACCTTTCTTCGCGGGCCATTGCTCATAACATGTTTATTGGACGCCACAAAGCTCTTTATTTTGTTTTGTTTGTGTTTATCCTTTCTCTTTCTCTCCAAGGTTTTCTTTAAAGACTAAGTGTGTATGATTATTTGTTTGTTTGTTTTTGTTTGTCTGTTACATAGGTTCGAATTCATGGGTGTTAGATGCTCAAGATGTTTATTTTCTCTTGTATATTCAATATGTCAATATGAAGTGATATCTTAAAATACACTATAATGATGTTGAATTTTCCAAATGAGTCTTATGTTATGTAGCTTTCAATTATAGTATGTAAACATCAATCTTTTGTTAAAGTTTATCAAAGATTTATTTGTAACACCTGTGATTGATGGAAACAAAAGACCATGTATATTTTTAAATGTTGGAAGCCTGTCGAATAAAAATCAATCATCAATCATGTAAAACAAGCAAAGAATTCTAATCTAACAGAATTTAAAATATAAAAGTTGCTATAACGATCATGACGTTGTACATGAACATGATTCTTAACTTAAAGCATCTGAAGAATTAGGGGGAACTGAAATCGCTATACACAAAGATAATTATGCAATGCTGATTGTCGTATTTTAAAATGTGGTTATTATCAAGCAGTGTACATGGGTAACTTTGTATTGTTTCGTCTGTGCATTGAGGAGTTTGTGTGGCGAGGGTAATAACTTCGATTTTCCGTCACGTTTTGCTATTTTATCAACAGCAACATATCAACAACAACAACAACAAAAATTAATTTTAAAGAAATATATTTCAGAGGTTTACCAACTTGGCTTCAACTAAGATAATGATGAATCAAGATTTGAACCGAAATAACTAAGCAAACATAAAAAGTAATAAAAAAAAACAAACTTAAAGTTACTTTTGCAAAATATTAATCTAATTAGATGTTTTTTCTTTCATTGATCTATTGTATGATATCGCGCACTGTGATGTGTATTTTTTGTGGTAAGAATGTTGTGCTTTCGTCATGTCATTCTAATCTGGTACATACGTTTTTATGATAAATCTATGCATTAACGAACTCTAGGTGATTATCATCGTAACGTACATTGAAACTTATTACATGACTTTTTGTATCAATAAAATAATATGGCTGACAAAATTGTACAGGCAACAACAAACAGGCACGTGAATTCGATTTGATTAGAGTTTATTGTCAGTGTCCGTTCCAATGATAGAATGTGAATTATAAAAGCAATTATAAAAGTTCATGATGAAGGGGGGAATGTTGCCGTGAGAGATTTTTAAGATTGATCGAAAGGAGAGGGGAAAGTTAACAGAAAACGTGTAGAAGAGAGAGTAGGGGAGATGGGGGATGGGGATTATTTATTATCATAATGACGATCATGATTCGATAGTAAAAAATCATATCATTTCAAGTTTGCACATTGAATTATCATTGAAATTGATTGTCTCTTATGACGCTTTTTCGAATAGAAATTCTCAAATGAAGATTTAAAAGAATTTTAAATTATATCTACATTTTGAAAATGATATACGAGGTAAACATTTGACTGTGGTAGCTATTGTCCCGAAAAAATATGACTGTTTTATTCAATTAAACTCAGTCAGAATCCGAAAAATAATTACCTTTAATTTAATAATTTCTTATTGAATTCATGGTTGCAATCAAACTCCCCTTTGACATGAACAACTGAGGTAAATTGCGGTATAATTGAATATGAATAAAGGAACGACGTACAAAGACATACAAATGCATTACAAAATACATTATTCATTCAGTATTTACTTTGGCATTATTTTGTCTAATTTGTAATCTTCTTCTTTCGTTATAATTTGATGGCAATCAGTCATACTCATACTTGACTATAGTTGCCAATTAATTTATTAATTTGTTTGATCCCCCCCCCCTCTCTCTCTCTCTCTCTTAATTGATCATTATTTATATACTTCCTATATTTTCTTCCCTTTTCATTCCTAACAAAATTATATACATATATCTCTTAGCTAAATTTAAAATAAAAATCCGAAAACAACCACTATCCCTATTACATGAAAATACGGTCAATCACGTTTACTTTTCACGATTTTCTTTCGACAGCAACACCATCTCATAGCACGTTTAATGATAAAGAATAAGATCACAACGAGAAGTATACCAAATGCAGCGATATCAAGTAGGTATATCTGAAAGAATGCTAGATTATGAGTAGGTGGGTGAAGGTGACCTCCTCCATGTTTCATCACATGTTCAATCCAGAATGCAGCCGTGTTCGCTGGTGTCAGTGGACGATCACGAAAGATGGCAGAAAGACGCTTGGCGTTCGTTGAATAGCTTGGGTTCTCAAGGACTTCGTTGAGCTGTAGGTAAATGTAATCCGCACTCAATCGGTCTTTGTCAATCTTGGTACCAAGTCCATTAGCCAGCACTCTGGCTGCAACGTCATGCTGATCAGCACCCAGAGGCATAACGACAAGGGGTACGCCGTGGTACAACGCCTCCAGGAATCCGTTGTTTCCTCCATGATAGAGCACTGCTCGAGTCTTAGGATGCCCAAGCAGATCATTCAAGGGTAACCATTTCATCGCTTTGATGTTATCAGGTATCTTGTATGGAGGGGGCTCTTTCAAATGAAGAAGAACTTTATGTGGGAGTCTACTGAAAGCGTCGATGAACATGCGAATGATGTCGGGTCTACTTTTTGTTATTGAGGCAAAATATGAACCAAGAGAGAACAGAACGACACCGTGCTTGCCCGATGATTGCATGAAGTTCTCTAACTCATTGTCGAGGGCTTCGGCTGGTCTTGTTGTAAGTCCACCAACTGGAATGATGTTTGGCATCATGGCAAAGGTAAATTCGACCGAGAAATCACTATTGATAAGGAAAAGGTCAACATGATTACTGATGGTGGATTTCAACCGAGGATCTAGATCATATTCATCCACAAGACCAGTGGAAAATCCATTGATCACCATTTTATTTCCCCAAAACACAAAGAAGAGGTAGGTGACGGTATTCCTGAATCTTTGTAAAAATGTCATGTCAGATGTGAATGAAGTCAGTGGTGCCGGTTGGTAAGAGGTCATAAATGGAGAGCCTGCTTCTTGAAATATATAAGGAAGTGGTGTCATGGGTGCAAGCACTATGACATGAAGTTTCTCGGTACCTCTATGTCTATCAAGAAAGGACTTAACATACACACCACACGACCATACCACATCGACGACAAAAGCATCGAATTTCGCCATACGGTCTAGCAATCTTTGATCTTCAAAAACGGATTCACAAGCTTCTCTGTTTACAGAAGTGAACATATCCCTCATCTCAGCCATGGGCTTCATGCTGTTTTCAGCAAATGTGAATTCTGCCGTCTTATTCGATATGTCATCCATTCTCTTCTTCAGACCAGAAAGATGGAACATTTCGTAGCTGACGATCGTAGCGTGCTCGGGATCCATGGCGCGGTCGGAATACTCGTCTGAAATGAGGAAAGTCACATTATGACCTCTCTTCGCTAGACTCTTTCCGACTGCAACCATCGTAAAATAATGGCTGCCATCTCCAAAGACACAGAGAGAAGAATGTTCGCTGATTCCACATCGCTCAGAGCTAAGAGTAAGCCCACAGCAACCAGAATATGTCGGACTCTCAAAGAGAACATAGTGTTGTCGAATCTCAACGTATAAAACACCGTATACAACTCTCCAATTCCCAGGTATAATTTGATGTGCATTGTGATAATAACAATACATCAAGCAGTACAATGTCAATGTTGAGCGAACCGTTGATACACAGGATTAAAGGTCACTTATCGCACAACGTTGGACTTTTACCTCCTCAAAAGTCTTTTTTTTTCTTCACACGTATAGGCAGGCGCGTACGCAGGATTTTTTCAAGGGGGGGGTTTTAACATTTATAAATCGGGCCGAAAATTTCGCAACGACTCAGCCAGCCGCTGAATAAGCAGGGGGGGGGGGGGGGGGGGGGGGGGGGGGGGGGGTAAGAGGTCACTTTTTTTTTTTTTTTGGTCCCAAAAAAAATCGCAACGACTCAGCCGACCGCTGAATAAGCGGGGGGGGGGGGGGGGGGGGGGGGGGGGGGGGGGTAAGAGGACACATTTTTTTTTTTTTTTGGTCTCGAAATTTGAAAATTTGACATTTTGCTCCGTTGGGGGGGGGGGTAAGGTCAGCTTTTTTAGGTCAACCATGGGAATTTTTTTTTTTTTTTTTTTTTTAATAAAAAAAAAAAAAAAAAAAAAAAAAATCAAAAGGGGGGGGGGGGGGGGGGGGTTTTAGAAAAATTTAGGGGGGGTTTACACACAAAAAATTACCAAAGGGGGGGGGTTTAACCCCCCAAACACCCCCCTGTGTACGCGCCTGCGTATAGGCACCAGTGTATTTGAGGGGGCAAGGGGGAAGTTCCCCACACAACTTTTCAACCTTAAAAAAGATGATAGCATCTGGCCTAATTATTATTCGAGGGAGCGTAGCGACCGAGCAAAAACTTCGTTTTCCTATTCTCTCTCAAATTTAATTAAGGGTATGGGGTGGTGATCCCCTAAAAAATAAAAATTTCCATTATGCAATCATTTTCTTTAGGAAAAACAGACATTTCTGATTTTTTGTTGATTTTTTTTTACACAGTACAAAGCCAATAGGAGGGAGCGTTGCGAGATACGTTACAGAGTTGCTAAGTTGTGTTGGATTGATCGCAAATTTACAAATTCCTAACTTTCTTATTTTTAATCGGAATTTGCCTAAACTTTTACTGACATGTTCCTCTCAACGTATCCATCTTAGCGCAGACGACTGACATGGGCTCGTACCTGCAAACTATAAATTCTCCGGAAAGTGCACTCCGCCCCAACCTGTACATAATTAATGCTGAATATTCCATCGCATCAGCATCTAGTTTTTACCATGTACTTGTTGCAGTATACTGCTTGCTGTTAAATTACGATCACTACCGTCTCCAATCGTTGCTGATAATAAGACGTATCGAGGCGACTTTTGTAATTATGAGTCCTAAAAAAAGCGAATTCCATGCCACTCCATGCCATGGTTTACAATCCAACAGTAAGCCTGGTTGTATCAAAGAGCAGCAACGGCAACAGTTGTTGCTCAAATTCAGCAACAATGGTAGCTAAGATTGTTTTTCCCAAAATATCAGATACAATGCATAAGACAAGCATGGAAAGTTGATAACACATACAAGCAATACTAATAATGAGGTGTAATAGCAACTGCTCTATCAAACATGCCTATTACCTAAAGAAGACAATTTTCTGGATCTGGATGTGAATCAGTTACAGACGGAAATTCTTGTACACAGACACACATATTTTCTTTCTTTTTAAATCAGTCATTTACACTTATTTCTTTAAATATATTATTTCTTATAATACGTTTTTTTAGAACAATCATGTTTTCTCAATCTTATCGTGATTTCAAATGGCTTAGATTGGATAGCAATCATACTGGAAGCTAAAATTGCACAAGCTTAGATGCTTACATTTGTTTTTATACTTATTGTTAAACAAGGCAGTCGTCAAATTTACATGTGGTCAATCCTCACACTACATTAGCCCAGAAATCAATCAGACATAGAGGGTCAGATGTATGGAATTCTTTACCTACCAATATTCGAAATATAAAATCACCAAACTCAAATGCATTATCTTTTCACAGATGTAAGATATTACTTACATATATATAAATCTCATATCAGCTCTCATTATATCGAACATAAATTTAATTCTCTTATGATCTATAAGACATTTTACTAGACTTAACAATTAACTTCTGTTCTTCTCAGTTATTGTTTTCTTTTATTTATTGTTCTTTGTAAATAGTGTAAATAGTTCACATCCCTTTAGAAATGTTATTTGTCATAGATTTTATATTTGAAAGGTGTTGTAACGATTCGAGCTATATTTGTGTGTTCATTCTTTAACTGTATAACAGTTGCAACTTGTCTTTGGTAAAGCATTGTTATATTCTTTTTCACGTGAAGTCTATTCAAATGAATTGTAAAATTGAAAATGATTTATTATATTATTTTCTTTTTTATGTGATGTTAACTCCAATGAATTGTGAAATTGTGAACATGAATTTATTTGTAGATATTTTTGATTTATAATTTTAAAAAATCCCTTAAAACAAAAATTAGTTACAATTTTTTTTAACCCTCATTAGCTTTAAGAAGAAAAAAGAAGCGAATGAAAGTAGGCCAATAATTACGTGATCAAAAGAGTTATCCTTTACTTCATTTTTTCATAGAAATAAAAGACAATATAATGGAAAGAATCGTAAATTCTGAGTAATTGCCAGATAAAGCCAAACGATAAAGAAGAAGAAGTACAACTAGCTGCCTTTTCTGGAGCAGTTAAAGGGGAAGTCCACCTTAACAATAATACTAAAAGCATTAAACCAGAACGTCAATGACGTAGCGCTCATCCACATCTCGCAACAACAAATCGTACATTTTATGTGGTACACTTTTGAACTGGTCAAAAAATAAAAATGTGATGCCCTGGAAGGGACATAATCTCATTTAGCTGTACAAGATTAAACAGAAACTAAAGGAAATGGAATGAAAATAGGTTGAAAAATATATAGTTTTATGACAAGCAGGACTTGAACTTAGTAAGAGATAAATATAAGCATACTCACCTTTTATTATGATAATAAAAGGACAGAGGTATAAATAGTCAGTAAATTGTCAACAGAAAAATATGGCAAAATAACAATTTTGAAAGGGACAAAAACGAGTTGGTGTGAGAAAATTGTTAAAATATTTAAACAAATTGAAGAATTAGGAGGTAACAAGAGAATGAAAACAAGGCATGCATAATACTGATGAATTAAAACAAAATTTTATATTGTGATCTTCTACCAGATAAAACAAACTAAATTAAAATCGGTCGAGAAATAAAGGAGAAGTAGCCTTTATTGTGATTTCGAATAAATTTGCATAAATTAGCATAGACAATTAATTTCACGATTCTGTGTAGAAGTTTTAAATCCCCCTCCTAGCCCTATCATATGAAATAATCAGAACCCAAATCGGTTGAAAAATAACGAAGAAGAAGCATTTGAAAACTGTGGACGGACGGACGGACGATGGACGCCACGCCATGGCATAACGAGAGAAACCAATTATTGCAAGTTGTAATAATATCCGATGAAAAGTAGGAAAGTTATACATTTATAAAGTTGTTATCAGTGAAACACAAATTGGCAACACTTAGACATTTCTTGCGAGGTCCTCACCAATTTGCTCTATACATATTTTGCATGAACTCTAATTTGCTTAGTTGTTGATGACGTGAAAAAAATCATTAGGGGTTGGTTGTATAGAAACATATTTACAATATTAAATATTTTGGGTGCACGTAGTATTGAACATTTTTTTAAGGGAAAAATGTGATTTCTGAATTTTTAGTAAGAGCAGATAGGAGGGATCCTTGCGAGATACGTCACAAAGTTACCAATTTGTGTTTGATTGATCGCAACTTTAAAAATTTCTAAGTTTCTTATTTTTAATCAGATTTTGTCTAAACTTTTACTGGCATATGTTCCTCTCGATTTAACCAACTTAGTATCATGGTGGACTTCCCGTTTCAAGTACAGTATGCAGTCACCATAGTTTCACAGTGCAGACGCAGTTCTCGACAGACATGGGTATGTACACGCCTGCAAACTATGGTATATAAACTGCACTAAGTGCACGGCGCCCCAACCTGTACATAATTAATGCTAAAAATATATTCCATCGCATCAGCAGCTATTTTTATCATTTACTTGTTGCAGTAGACTGCTTGCTGTTTTAATAAATAAAAGTAGGCCTATAATAACGTGATCAAAAGAGTTATCCTTAATTTCACAGCTAGTTTTGATCATGTACTTCTTGCAGTATACTGCTTTCCGTTTAATAACGATCACTGCCGTCTCCAAGCGTTGCTGATATTAGACGCATCGAGGCGACTTTCCAATCTTTGTATGTTTTTCATCAGACTTCTGACTGGGTATCAGGAAATGGTAAGTCTATCGTTATCACATAGTATATAAATCGTGGGTTTTATCATGTTCTCTTTACTCAGTCTCTTTACTTTTCAAATGTCCAGAAACGGGGGGGGGGGGCTGACATCTTTTATACCCGAATATCAGCTCTCAAAATTTCTTAAAGGTTAAATTCAAAGAAGATCATAAATATGTCAACTAATGTATCACTAGAAACTGGTAAGCTAACAGATGACCATCGGACAAGCTTTAGGTCAACTACATATCGGGTGATTTATAAAAATACAAATACAACTACCTCCATAGCAGCTGGGATATACGAGAGATTCGCCGGAAAAATAACGATGTTTTAATGACGTCACTATATGGACCAACACTGCCCAAGTAGACATCCCATAGAGAATGAACATAATTGCAAAGCTATTATTTCTCAAATTATAATGAGTTTAGTGTATATAAATGTAATGGCATGTCAAACCATTCAAAAGGGGATATGACCCGATTCTGATAACTAAAATCGTTTGCCTGTAAATACACAGGATAGGGGTTCATTTAAAATCAAAGAAACCAGACTTTCAAATTGAAAAACCCCCG